CTATATGCTTCAACAGAAAATGAGATTTTCTGTTTCTCAAATCTGGGCCCACACATGTAAGGTTCAGTGCTTTGTATAAAAGTGGGGGCTTGGCCTGAGACACGTGTGGGAATGGATCTGGCCGCCACAACATTCTGGCAGTGTGGGATTTGGTGAGAGGCTTCTCCTTCTGTGTTTATTTCTGCAAAATAAGTCTTACAGAGCCTTCTACCTGCAGGATTGTTTAACAAGGTCATGGATATAGTTCCTAGCAATGTGCCTGATATGTGGGAACTCACTAATAAATGTTAGGAGATTATTATTATTTGTTCAACTTTTTGTGAGTGGACAAGTACAGACCTGAAGTAAAATTCACCCCAGTAGCTTTTAAAAATATATATTTTATTTATTTATTATTTGAGAGAGAGAGAGAGCATGAGCAGTGGGGGGAGAGGGAGAGGAAGAAGCAGACTCCCCGCTGAGCAGGGAACCCAATGTGAGGCTCCCAGGAGCCCAGAGATCATGATCTGAGCTGAGGGCAGACACTTAACGGACTGAGCCAGCTAGGCACCCCTGAATGTGCTTTGGACTAAGAAGGTTAAGACTACTAGGGTGAGGGGCACCTGGGTGGCTCTGTTAGTTAAGCATTTGCCTTCGGCTCAGGTCATGATCTCTGGGTCCTGGGACCGAGCCCCATCCTTTGTCAAGCTCCCTGCTCAGCGAGGAGTCTGCTTCTCCCTCTGCCTCTCCCCACCGCTAGTGCTTGCTCTCTCAAATAAATAAAATCTTAGAAAACGCAAACAAACAAAATCACATTCAGTCAACAACTATTTATTGACCCCCCCCCCAAGTCCTAACTAAGTGCCAGGCATTGTTCTAGGGGTGGGAATACAGTGGTGCCTACCCAAGACAAGGTCTTCACCCTCACCAGCAATTTATATTTTGGTTTGGGGGAAGACAGCTGCAAAGGGGCATCAACAACAAAGATACTCTTTAGTGTTAAGTAGGGGAGAAGGAGAAGCAGGCTTGCCGCTGAGCAGGGAGCCTGATGTGGGGCTTGATCCCAGGACCCTGGGATCATGACCTGAGCCAAAGGTGGATGCTTAATGACTGAGCCACCCAGGCGCCCCTAATGAGGTGAGATTTGAACTCAGTTCTGAAAGACAAGAAAGAGCCAGTCATGCAAAGATCGGGATAGGGAGGTAAATAGTCCAGGGAAAAGGAACAAACAGCAAGGGAAACAGCCCCAAGGTGGGAAGAAGCTTGTATTTTGGGGAGGGGCAGAGGTTAGTGTGTCCAGAATGTGTAGGTCAAGGGCAAGAGGAGCTTGAGATGAAGTTAGAAAGATAAGCAGGGGCACCTCCCCATGGGGCCCTGAAGGCTATGATGAGGCCTTTAGCTTTTATTCTGCATGTGATAGGAAGCCATCTATGTATTCAGAGCAGATGGAAAAAGTGTTTGATCTTATCAAGGGGGGGGGGGAAGCTTCATTCCAAGATCTGCCTACAAGTGCATTAGCCTCGTGTGACCACTTACGCATTTGGGAATCTCTGATGTGTTAAAAAGTTGAATGTGCACGACGCATGGTGTCTTTCATTTACAATTTTTGGAACAGAAACATATTGTATAAAAGGAAACTGGAAGGAACATTTACAGGATCCCTGAGGCTTATCTGTACTTATGCCAAAAACTTAAAATGACTCTAAAAGGATCTTCCCAAACAGCATCGAGGGTGGGGCTAAGTAACTTCTGGCTGGGGAGTCAAAGATATTTCAACATTTCTGTAGGACATGGGAAACTCCCTTAAATAAAAACTTATTATTATCATTATTTTAAGTTCCAGGATTCTTTGAGAATCTGATTAATGTTATGGACTTGGTCCCCCGGAAAATGCTCTGCTTAGGATGAAGAAGGGGGTAAATCGGAGTTCTTCCGCTTGTACCTCCTGACTGGGCCTGTGTGGCAGAGAGATTTCCTCCCCACGGACAGCTCCATCACTGCCACAGACACCACCCCCCCCCCCCCCCCCCCCCCCTCGGGCAGTCGCGCAGACGCCCCCTCTGCGGCTACTAAGAGGTTCTTTTTTTCTTTTTTTTTTTTTTTTTTTAAGATTTTATTATTTCACTGGACGGAGAGAGAGCACAAGCAGGAGGAGTGGCAGAGGGAGAAGTAGGCTCCCTCCTGAGCAGGCTCCATCCCAGGACCCCGGGTTCATGACCCGAACTGAAGGCAGCAGCTTAACTGACTGAGCCACCCAGGCGCCCCTAAGAGGTTCTTTATGGTTGGTCCATGCAACTTGTCCAATCACCACTGGGAGCCCAATCTCCAAAAAGGGTAGAAATATACTCTAGGGCCAGGTTTCTGTTTGGAGGCAACAGAAGGCGATTTTTGAGGAGATGCCCTCTCCGCCTGTCAGGAAAGGATTCTTGATCATTCTTTCTGAATCAAAAGGCCTTTGGGCAACCTTCCAATGAGAAGCTACTGGCCCATCTCTGCAGAAGTGCAGATGCAGCCCATCTTTACAGTTATAAGCAGGGCGTTCACAGAATAGATTAGAGGGTATAGAACAATTTGAGGTTTTAGGGAGTTTTCTCCTAAATTACCTTTGTTTTGGAAATTGAGACACTGAGGCCCCAAAATGATAATTAAGTGGTCTGCTGGGGCCGAAACAGGGCTATGACTTCCCATTTTCCAGCATGATATGAATTCAAAGCACAGACTCTTGTAACAGACAGCTTGGGTTCAAATCCTGCATTATCCCTAATGTGTCCTGGGACCTCGAGCACCTGACCTCCAAGATGGTATTGATGACAACAGGATAGCCTTGGTGGGACTGTGTCAGGAACAGAATCTGGCCTGTAACAATTGCTAAGTCAATGCTATTGATACTGTTTTGCAATGAGAGAAGTGAAGTTATTTTGACAAGGACACAGGAAAGGCACGATTAGAAGCTGGGCCTATGAGTGTTGTTCACCACCAGACTATTGTGTGTGTTTTATTTATTTTATTTATTTATTTTTTTTAAAGAGTTTTATTTTAGGTAGAGAGTGTGGGGGAGGGGCCTGGAGAGGGAGACTTTTTTTTCTTAAGATTTTTTTATTTTTTATTTTTTATTTGACAGACAGAGATCACAAGTAGGCAGAGAGGCAGGCAGAGAGAGAGGAGGAAGCAGGCTCCCCGCGGAGCAGAGAGCCCCATGCAGGACTTGATCCCCGAACCCCGGGATCATGACCTGAGCTGAAGGCAGAGGCTTTAACCCACTGAGCCACTCAGGCGCCCCCAGACTAATGTGTTTTAAACTGCAAGGCATGACCCTTTAGTGGTTCAGAAAATCGGTTTAGCAGGGCCTCAAATAGCACTGGAAAAAAAAAAAATCTCGGTGCATGATACATACCAGTTAAATAGTATTTGATGACACTTTCATGCAGGTATATATGTATATAGGTAAGTATACATACGTGTGTACTAGATCTTAGGTTGAAAGCATTATTCTTGACTACTGTGCCCCACAGAATTTATACACAAGCACAAGGGAGATTTCCGCGAGATGTCTTTACGTGTTATAATCCATCCTGGGAGGGACAGGGATTCCAGTTCGCCCAGGAAGACTCAGAAATAGGGCAACGGGCTATGAACTGTTCAGTACAGAAGGGAGCAAAGGTAGACCCCAGTGAGCTTGAGTCTAGGTTACAGCGGAAAGGACTAATTCCCGAAACAAATATTCCCCAAGAGCACACTCTGTGCCAAGACTTTTGCTGGGCAGTGTTAGCTACACGGTGGTGACTGAGGCAGTTCTGGTCTTTTTCCTCGTGGGACTCTCTGCACAGTGGAGACAGATCTGTCACCAGACAGTAAGACACTAAAATGATCAGGCCTGTGGTGGGGGAGGCGTTGGTTGGTTATCAACCCTGTGTTGGGGGAAGCCCATGAGTAAGGAATACAGAGAAGCAAGTTCCAAGCTGGAAATCCATTAGCTAAGGGCTTGTTCCGGCATTAGGTTTACCTCGGAATAAACTAAGGCCCGCTTCTGAGCTGGATTCCCTGCGTTACTCTCACAGACTTAGGTGGACCTAGGATTCTTCAACTCCCAGCTAGGGCTTCCAGAAGTATGCACTGACCGATATATACCTGCTAAGCTCACTGGAACCCAAATTCAGAAGGCAGCAAGCCCTACCCAACCTCTGAGAGTGAAGGACCTGGGAGGCAGAAGTCTCACACTGCCTAGGACACTAGCTGACCAGTGGACCAGAATCTCTTCAGAGCTCTTTTCTTACAAGGCGATCTTAAGGCCTTTTAAGGACCAAGTTACCCCATTAAATAAAGTTATACCCCTATTGCACATACATGATGAGCAGTAGGATTAATATTTTGGAGTCACAGAGTGTCTAATTGATATAAAATGCTCTATTTACATAAAAAAAGTCCAATATCCCAGTGACGCAGCTCTGTTTCCATTTTGCAGATTTGGACACACAGCCACAGAAAACGGTCAATCTGTTTACTATCACCAGCGAGGAAATGCAAAGCTGGGTTTGTGAGACTTCAGAGCCTGTGCTCACCACGGCGAGACACAGTGAAAACTCTCCTAACCCCCGCTCCAGGGTTCTTTAAGAGCCTTGGAACCGAGAGGAAAGGCGAGATCACAGTAAAGCGAGATCAAAAGCGTATGTAAATAAGGACCCGGGGCTGCCGGGAAGTATCGCTGCGGCGAGCCTTTAAGGAAAGCGGGCGTCAGAGTCCTGCTGCGCCTGCGCAATCCTGTCTTTTCTTTACATCCGGCGCCTGCGCGTGGTACCTTTCTAGCTCACCTCGACCCAAACTTGCCTAAAGTACGCAGGCGTCCCGCTCTGAATCAGCCGCTTGCCCGGCCTTGCGCCTGCGCCCTAACGCTCTCCGAGTTCATCTCTCGCTCTTTTACGTCAGTTCCTGTTTGTGGCGGGAGAAGGCGGTATTTCCGGCCAGAGGGTGGGAGGGGGCGGTAAGCGGGGGCTGGGGGGAGGGGGCGGGGGGGCCGCGCCGCGCGAGCCGTGGGGCCTGGCTCGGAGAAGGCGTTGCCGCTGCCGCTGCAGTTGCTGCCGCCAGGAAACACAAGGAGCGGGACCAAGCGCAGCGTGGCGATGGGCGGGAGTAGGGCCCCGCCGGAGAGGCTGGGCGGCCGCCGGTGACAGGTGAGTGCGCCAGCGCGTGTCCCCGAGCGCCTCCCCCCGCGATGGTTGCGTCCGGACCCCCCGCCGTGCGGCGCTGGGCCGTACCACCAGTGCCCGCCGGGCGGGGACCGCCGTCCTCGAGCCCCCCCCCTTCCGGGACAGAGTGGGGGCGGCTGCGCGGGGGCGGTCGGACTACCCCAGAGGGGCCGGGGGCGGGGGCGGCTGGCCGTACCACTGAGGCGGCACTGGGTGGGGGGCACACCGAAGTGCGGGGACCGAACCACTGAGGAACTGGGGGCTGAACCAGCGGGATGGGAAGGGTGCGCCTGCCCGGTGTGCTAGAACTAAGCCATTGGGGTGGGGTGGGGGACGCGCCTTACCAAGTGTAGGGGGCTGTACCTATTCGGGGCTGTGGGAGCTGTGCTTCCAGCGTGTTTAGGGAGGTGGGGGTTTGCTGGGGAGGGAGCTGTACCAAGTGCGTTCCGAGTAGCGCCGTGTGGGTCATACCACTGAGGTGCGGGGGGGGCATCCTGAGAGCGTGGAGGAGCACCGTATCGAGGGGGGAGGGTTGTGATGTTTATAATCTTTGAGGGATGCGTAGGGGTGAGGGGGGCAGGCCACAGTGGGTGTTCGGGAGAGTATTTTGGGAGGGCTGTAATGAGGAGTGTTGAGGAAGGGCTTTGCCTCCCGAGTTTGGTGGGTGGGGCTTGGGGGTTTACTCCGAGCGGTAGAAGGGAGGATCACTATTGAACTTCTCAATGACTTTGGGGGAACTGGATGGTCGCTGGGATTGCTGTCTGTCCTACAACCTTTTCGTATTATTAAACCTCTTTTAAAGATGTGTGAGACACTTCTGCGGCGAATTCTTTGTTTCTGTGGGCAGGAGATGTTTTAGAAGCCTCTCTCTGAAGTATTCTGAGCTTTCAGCTCCATATTTGGGAGGGGAGGAGGAGGGGAGGAGAGTCTTTTCTATTGAGCTCAGATTTGAGGAGCTGTGGCCCCTACTTGTTAAGACTTAAGAGGAAGGAGTGTTTAGAGGGACACCTCTCTGTCAAGGCAGGGTGTCTGGGGACGTTTTGATCCTTGGAATTCTGAAGACCCCCTTCCTCTCATTTGGGGGCTGCCTGGGATCAGCAGGAGGCCTGGGCTAGAGTAATCATGTTGGTCTTCCATGGTCTGCCTTTCAACCTTGTCCTCTCTTCGCCTCTCAGAGAAGCATTGGGGAGTTCAGCCCTGGCCAGACCTTGCTGGCCTACACAGCAAGGGCAGTCAGTCGCTCCAAGCACCCACCCAAATAACCCTTGCTGGGCGGTGGATTTCCAGGAGCCAGGCACCAGTACAGATCATGGCAGTCTCCATTCTAGTCATGAGGCTGTTTGTGTCTCCCTGGTTAGCTGTCCAGCCTCCTGTCGTGTTTACGCTCCCCACCAGGCGATAACAGTTGGTCTCACCGTTAGGCGACAATGAGGCTGAGTGCTGTTTTCCCAGCTGTTCTCTCTGCGGACGCCCAAGGGACTTGGGTAGGGGTGCCCTGGCCCAGCCGGAACCAGGGAGGAAGGTTTCTCTGAAGGACTTAGGGTAGGCAAATCTCCCACAGATCTAGTTTCTCAGTGTGATCACTGGGTGGGTGCTTGGAGCGACTGCCCTTGCTGCCTAGGCCAGCTCGTGACCTTGGCTTGCCAGGTAGCCTTTGCCCCGGGTCTGGAGTTCCCAGAAGGCTGGCTGCAGTCCCTGATTGCCCCAGCTAATGTGGGCTGGTGATGTGGTCAAAGGCTGGTCCACATCCTTGGCTCCCAAGTTGTCTGTCTTCTTAGGAAGGCAGCTATGCTCACCACTATACCACCAACGCGTCTGTCTTCTTAGGTTGTGGTTCCTCGAGAACAGTCCTTGAGGTCCTTGAGTCTTTTCTAGACTGTGGGGCTCTAGAATTTTTCTCCACTAAGGATTTGTTTCTCTGGTCTCCTTCTGCCAGCTTTTAGAGGGTTTGCCTGATGGGTTAACAGCAGCAATAAAAACCATAATTGTGAGATCGATGGCTGACATTTATTGAGTGCTTTCTGGGTACGACACACTATTCAGAATGGATTAACTTGCTGAATACATCCTGGAGCTGTAGTACTGTTGCACGGTCTCTGTATTAGAAGGGGAAACTGAAGCACAGAGAGGCAAGTCATTTCCAGAGCTAGTGAACAGCTGGTGGTTTTGGCCATCCACAGTATGTCAGGCGTGGGACAACCCTTTTACACACATAAGCTCTTTTAAATCTCAAAACGAACCTACAGGATAGGTATGGTTATGTCCATTTTATAGACTCCCGTGAGCTAGGTAGGAGTGTGGTGCCCACTTTACAGATGAGGAGACTGAGACACCTGCTGTGAAGTGAAAGGCTTGGCCTGATGTGTCACAGCCAGACGTAATAGAACCACCATGTGAACCCCCACCCGGCCAGGTTTGGTCTCAGTGAGCCTCTTGTCAACAACTAAAACTGTGGGTTAGTTGCCCCCCCCAGTGGATGTGGTAGTTTTCTCCTTTTTGCAGAATGAGACCTCAGGGGAAGAATTGGTTTGCCCTAGGTCCCTCCAACCCTCGGGGGCAGGCTGGGTTTTGAACCCAGGTCAGCTTGCCTCTAGTGTTGTGCGCTCTTTGTTCCCCAGGTCCCCTGCTAGAGTGGGTCTTGGGCACCTCAGAGGCCCTGCCCTAGACGCTGCCAGCTGCACCTTTGGGCATTTCCTTCCTCTTACCATCCGCGCCCAGGGCTGCTGTGAGCACCTCTGCCCGCAGCCAGCCTGGTAGTTCTGGGCTTGCTGGTGAAACTTCGTCCCTCAGTGTTGAGCTAGGGGACGTCTTTTAACCCGGTGCAGAGTACTGGGAGCCAGGAGAAAACAGCAGGGGGGCTGCGCAGGGGGTGACATACTCAGAGGAGCCATGCTAGAGGCCCCTGCCCAAGCACGGTGTGCTGGGCCCGCATGCAGTTTCTGGAGCTTTCATGTTCTGGCTGTGTGACCTTGGACCTCAGTTTTCCCCTCTTGTGCAGTGGGCTCTGAATGGCACCCACGTCAGACTGTTGTGAGGATGAAACAAGTTTATCCACCAGAAGCTCCTGGGCCGGTGACTGGTGCCGTGCACAGGCCCAGTCAGCAATCCTGAGCCCGTCCATCCTTGCCCACGCTCTCACCCCTCGCTCCTCTCTCCTCACTCCTCTCAGGTGTCTTGGTGTCCAGCTCCCCAGGTGGCCCAGCCAGAATCCGGGAATCCTGTGTCCTGGTTTCTGAGCTCTGTAAAGAGCTCCATCAACGTGATTCAGAGCAGCGGGTCCAAATCCAACCCCAAGCACTCCTGGCTGGGCGCCCTTGAGCAGGTTCCTCAGCCTCTCTGAGCTTCCATTGTGTCGAGGGATGGTCATTCCCCCCCTGATACATTGTCCTGAAGGTGAAATGGGTTAATCTGTGGAAAGCCTCCCCGGCACAGCCTCCAGTAAACGTTTCCGGCTCTCACTCTTTCAGGAGAGTGCCTGACACACGGTGAGCCCTCAGGACAGCTTAGCGATTATAAGTCGTGTTATTTTGGAGGCTCTGCCCAGGCTGTAGAGCCTTGGCAGCTACCTCCAGGAGGAGGGCCCGGCTGAAATTAGCATCCCCATTCTCCAGATGAGGAAACTGAGGTTTTGGAGGCTTGGAGCAGAGGTGGGACATACAATCAAATAAAGGGTAGCAAGTGCAGCACCCAGGCCTCATCCTCCCACACAGTTGCTGCCCAGAGCTCTTCTGAGGTCACAATTCTAGCTCTTTTTCAGATGTCAGGCTCTGCTAACCCCCCGTGCTCTATGTGCTTTTACTGAATCTCCACCACAGCCCCCGGGAGTGGCAGGAAGGGCCTTGACCCAGGTGAGAACAGCCCTTTGAAGGCTGCGAGGCAGAAGGGTGGGCGCAAGCTGGGTGAGGAGCAGAAGTGCTGGTGGGAGTCAGGGGCCCAGCTGTGCAGAGCCACCTGGGCCAGGGTTGGGGGCGGGGGGGGGGTGCAGGGGGAGAAGTGCGCCCTTGGTCCCGAAGGCATCGCAGAGCCAGAGGGTTTCCCTGATCCACCAGCCTTCACTGAGCACCTGCTGTGTGCCTTTCATCGCTTCGGGTGCTGGGGATGGGGCAGTACCCTGGACGGAGGTGCTCCTTCCGTGGCACTGAGGGAGACAGTCAACTTGGCGAATAAATGAGGGACAGGTTCAAGGGAGGTGCCAATCGGTCAGTTACAATCAGGTGTGACTGGGAGCTTCTGTCATCGGGCTGTCAGGAAGGCCTCTCTGCTGATCCCCAATTGGTGGACCAGGTGAGCAAGGAGAAGAACCGGCCTTGGGGGGGGCGCGGTGGGGGAACCACAGGGCCAGAGTTGAAAACTTGGTGAGGTACAGGGACCTGCAGCACGGAGGCCTGTGTGGTGGGGCAGGGTGAGTGAGGGGAGGCTGGAGTGGAGGGCAGGTGAGGTCAGAGCCTTGCAGACTTCTCTGAGGGATAGCTCGGTCAGATTTCAAGCTTCAGAAGGTGACTTTCACCAGAAGAGGTTCTCAGGCCTCTGCTTGGGGTGGGGTGGGGTGGGGTGGGGTGGGTAGATTTTCGAGTGGGTCAGGGAGTTTCACATGCCTCCTACTTCCCCCTTGAGTAGAATCACTGCCTTAGAAACGGTGGCAAAGGCGGTGGTAAAGGCGTGATGGTCGCCTCCCTCCTCTGTGGTTTTCACACCGCATTCCCCAGGGCTCAGGGCTGTTCCGTTTAGGGACAGATGGGGGGAGGCTCAGTGAGGTGATTTGTGCCCACCCCTCCCCAACCCAGACAGCTGGGCTAATATCAAATAACAGTGCAGAACAACGGTAATACCTGATAAAAGCTGTACTTGGCTGACTTGACCTTCCACGCAGCTGTGTGCCTGAGGACCTGCCACATTCCTGGTTGCTGCTCTAGAACTTGGAAGACCAGGTGTTGTGGGCCTACCTTTTCTAGTGGAGACAGGTGCCCAGCAAGCAAATCTAGAAG